TATACAATTAAAACTTTTGTGATCAGATACAGCCGCGACTACTACATTAACGATGATAAAGTGTCGAAAACTAGTCCGAAACACCAAATTGTCGCTACAGACGGTAGTCGACCCAGTCCGAATATCAGTGACGAACCCACAGCAGACATAGCCATCAATGAGGTAAATTGCCACACCAAAAATACATATAAGAGTATCCCGCTGTATACTGATCATAGCGACTCTCATTGGACCCTTTCCACCACTCCAGTGCATCGTAGCAGCTCCCTAAAATTCATTAGCCGTCGCTCACCATCAGAATCATATTACAATCTCACAGCAAATGCAATCTCCACTTCCACTTCCACTTATAATCAAGCACATTTACCACCACGATCATTCACCTCAGCATCCCATTACGAAAGTTCGGACCGCATACACTTTAAAGACTACTGCGGCAACGACAGCTCCAGAAACACGAATCGACGTCGCAACATTAACAGACATAGCGAATACGAAGATACCGGCAATCTAGACGCGGACAATTGCAATGACATAGACAATTACAGTGACGACATACGTTCGCAACGGTCGTGGAGAAGTGCCAGCGCTGCTGCCAACTATCCTGCTACGCTTCCTAAGCGTCGTGCCCACTCCTCACTTAGTTTTTACCGAGGTGGTAGTGGTGCGTCGGGAATCTCGTTAGCGACTAAAACGCGCACGCTACCATCGAGTCATATTTTGTCACAATTCGAGAAGCAATTGCTCCACAAAGATCTCAAACGCGACAGTTTTCGTGCCGCTTCGGCGACGACCAAAGATTTCGTAATGAATCCACTTTACGAGAAGGACAATCTTAATAGTATCGCTACTGACAATGTCAAAAACAGTCCAAATGCTGAAATAGCGCAGCGGGGATCGAGCGAACAAATGGACTCTGGAGTCGACAGTTGCTTCTTAAATGGTCTCAGTGAGACCGACGTTAAAACGAGCAATACTAGTTTGCTCTTTTGATGAGCTACTTACATACTACAACATACATACATAGAGTTTGAGGAATGAAAGAAATATGCGATACTCTTTTTTTTTCGCTTAAAGCCAGCCACGAGTAAACATATAACTAGTCAGTAGTGCAACGCATAAACGTTTGAGTTTTTCATGTTCTAAATATAGCATATTATCAATTTATAAATATAGCATAGTTATGTACATAGGTAAGGTGCGGGTATTTATGAAATATTCTCGCGAGTGGATTGACGAGGGCCATTGTAGAATAAAAAGTTACACCACCCACAACGTACCAACGAAGTTGTTTGCATTTAACCAAACATACATACATACATACATATAAATAATGTCAATACATATTTGCACAAGCTAGGGCCCTATAATCGACTTTAGCGGCCTTATCACA